CCGCAAGGACCCTCATGCATCAGTTTTTGCTCAAGAGCTCGGAGGCTCGAGACCGGCATTGGTTGGCAACCGTTTGATTTGTTCGTGAAGTGCAGTCGAAACAATCAAAGACCATCAAAGGTGCAGCTGTTTGATTACACAGTGCATTTGGCGACAAAGCCGGTCGAAGACAAGTGTGGTTGTGGGTTTCTGATTCGAAGAGGGGTCAAAAGCTTCAGCCTCGTGGCCTACTTGGTCCACACCTCGGAGATCCTGCAGATGCACAGTGCCACGATCAGCGACCTCCTTTTCGAAGCCGACATCCGGCTGCCAAAGAACACAAGCAAAGCACTTAAGATCAGACGGGTTCTTGAGATGGATTCGGTGAAAAATCATGTTTCGCAGAGCACCATCGACAACATCAAGCTGATCTTGGACCAGCAAGAGGAGAAGCGGAAAAAAAGCAAGGACCAGAAGCCGGAGACCGAGCACAACGACGAGGACGACAAAATCAATTTCCCACATAGAAAACTTAAATAATCATGATACACTAGGAGGAATTCAACCAGATATTGCATGCTTTAAGCAACAGAAAAGGAGGACATCGTGTGGGAAGAGCTGGAGACAGATCCGGCGGCAGTGGCTTGCCGAGAGCTTCTGGGCAGGCTCGATGACGACGAGGCGAGCGACGAATACTCACTCAGTAGAAGCAATAATGTTTTCGCTAGTAGGTTTCCCCGTCTAGAGTCTAAACCCGAAGGGCTTCTATACATCATATCTCAAGAGTTATGACTAATTCAGGCTGAAGAAGCGGAGATGGAAAACCCCGCTGTGCAAGCATCGCCGGCCCCTGATGGTGCACCGGCAGCAGCATCATCGGCATCCAGGGAATCCCGGGCACTTCTGAGCGAGACAACGACAATCCCTGCAGAGCTTCTGGCTCGATTTCCATTGCCATCAGGCTGCACAATGTATCGCATAATCCATCGGGATTCCACCCTCCCACACTTTCAGGGCAAACTCTTGGCAAATGCCAGTTTCGAAGGGAAGCTACTTGGCCGCATATGTGCCTCGTGTTTCGCTTTTCAGTCAAGGGCAAGCATCAGAACATCAGGTTTCGGATGAACTTAGGTTCAGCTCTGCCGCCAGCTACAACCCAGCTGTTCAGCGCGATCTTTTGGACGAATCGAAGAAGACATTGAAGTCCGTCGTTGCAAGCAAACGATCCGAGTTTCAGGCCTTTTACATGGTCTGGCAATGGCTGGACCGAGCCGCGAAAAGCGACCGTTCCAAACGTCGAAGGCTTTTTTGAGGGAATAAGACATGCGAGTCATATCACTCGAGCATCATGAGCAAGAAATACAGGAATGATTTCCTCACGAAGCCTTTTCGGGGGCACATTTGTGTGCATAGTGCAGGGGCTGATTGCACTGCTCGAGAGCCTGCACCGTCAGTGGGACCCAGAGGAAAACAGCCGAGCGAGCACCCAAACATTTTGAAAGCACCATAGACGAGGGAGCATGGCAACAGATTCCTTTGATTAAAGGGACACTCAGACTCCTTTTAGGGATTAGGGTTTATTTAAAAGGACACCTCATGCTCCTTCTTCGAGGCTTCGAGGTTCCTCCCTGCCGACGCCTTCCGCGCCAACCTCGCCGCTGCGGCCAGGCCCGGCCTCCTTTAAAGGTTTAGGGTTTAGGGGTTTAGGGTTTAGGGTTTAGGGTTTAGGGTTTAGGGTTTAGGGTTTAGGGTTTAGGGTTTAGGGAGGAGTCTTTTTTCGTCCTCTGAGGGGTCTTTAAGGGTTCCTTTCCTTGATTTCAAAGGGTTCCTTGAGTCTTTAAAGGATTTCACAGGGTTCAGTTAATTTAAAATACCTTTTATAAACCCTAAACCCCCTTTTAAAAAATCTCTAAACCCCAAACCCTAAATCCTTCAGGGATCCCTTAAAGGATTTTTTGACCAGAGGGTCCATATACGTTACGATTATGGAATTAGGCCCCCCAAGACCATAATAAGGATGGTCGTTTCTTTTGGGACCATAATTTTTGTAGTGTATATGGACCCTCTGGGTACGATATCTTGTTCAAAGCTGTTTCGATGGGTTCAGGGCCTACAACGGCTTACGATTTTTGGGGGTGTTGAGGAGTTGAGGGATTCTAGATTCCTTTACAGCGTCCGTCAAAGTTTCATGTGCCTTCGTAGCTCTACTATTTCGGTACATGGGTCCTTAGGGTTACATACCAACCTCAAACCTCAAGGCGCGACGGTGCGCCTCTTGCGGATGCGAGGCCGTGCCAGCCAAAGATCGCCTGGTCTTATTGATCAGAGTTTCTAGCACTCCTACATCCAAAAGGTCCAATATGTACCTATGGTAGGAGCCAGAAAGTTGGAACATTATGGTCCCCATACCATTAAGGGTAAGTACCAGGATCCTAGCACTAAGCCTCCTAAATCCATGTTGAAAACTTTCTGGGGTTCGCTGTATGTAGTAGAATGTAGGGTTTCTATATTAGGAGTCACTCGTCTGATTTGGGGAAGTATCCCCCACAACAGCACCTAGGACTCTAGGACCCTTTTGGGACAGTTCTTGCATCACAAGGCCAAGGTTTTTATATCGGGCTGTCATGTTATCACCAGGGCTTCATGCAGTTTTATGTGGTTTCAGGCGGTGTTATAAGGTCGCCGCCTGCGGGTTTAGAGATGTTTCGGGTCTAGAAGCCTAAAAGGGCTTGTGGCACCCCCTGACTATCAAGCCCCCTGTTGATTGTTTAAGAGTCTTACTGTTTGGGGTTCGGGGTTGTTGGGTTGAGGGGCCTTAAGATTTGGGTCTGTGCTTCCATCCTTGTGAAGGGAGGGGTTTGTTGATCATTACTTGCACGGTCATGGGACTTGGTAGCTAAGTTTATAAATACTAGGTAACTGGGCAACTATACGTTTAATCTTTGTAATTACTTGTAAAGATGACCCAGTGAAGGTACTTGCAGCCTTACCTACTAAGTCCCACTTACCCTATCCAGCCTGCGCAGGCTTATCCCAGTGCCATCCACAAATGAAATTTGCGTTGAATAAGAAGTGGATAAGCCTAACAGCACCCACCCACCCACCCACCCACCCACCCACCCACCCACCCACCCACCCACCCAGCCACCCAGCCACCCAGCCACCCAGCCACCCAGCCACCCAGCCACCCAGCCACCGGCCGCCTACCCGTCCATGACAGAACATTCCAAAACCCTCAGTTTAAACACATTTATGTAGTTTCTTTTGTGAAAAGCCTTAGTATTGAGCTTATAGGGACCCTACAGCAAAGTAGGGTCTGGTAGGTTGGTGCTAAGACCCAACTTCAACCCCCCCCCGGCTGGAGTCCATGATAGAACACTCAACAACCGAATCCTTAATAAGTGCTTACTTAAAGGATCATGACTTAGTAAGTAGGGTTATAATTAAGGTAACTGTACTTATATCTGCTTATAACCCCAATTAAGGGACTTATAACCTTACTTACTACAGTAAGTCCCATGATCCTCCAAGTATGCTGCATCATGAGTTGAAGGTCTACAAATCTAGATCGACATGTGAATATTATGAACGTCAAGGACAGGAATGTTTAGTTTGGGAGTTTAGGATTGCATACTTTTCGGATGGTTACATAAAGGTATTGGGTTTACTTTTGTTTGTAACGTTCACCTTGCATCCCGGGCTTACCGCCTAAAGTACGCACCTAAACCCTCAACCCTAAACC